CCCTCAGCAGGTTGGGAAAGCTGCAACATAGGATGCTAGCAGGCTCTGCTCCCTACACCACTGCTAGTATGGGACTCGTCAAAACCACAGGCTCCGCACAGCAGCCACTTCCACAGCCACATCCCCCTTGGGTGCTGCTTGCACAGATTGCACAGCCGCCTGCATGGCCCCACCACGGACAGTGGCAGTGGGCTGTGAGGCTGGCTTTCAGCCTGTCCTGACAGGAAATGTGCTGCTTGCCACATGGCCTGGCTAAGAGATGCCGAGGAGTCCATCTGCTCCAGGGAACTGCTCCCCACTGCTGCAGCGCACGGTGCTCAGTGCACCCTGCCAACCTCCACAGCCAGAGAAGGAAGAAGCAGCCGAGTGCCAAGCCCTGCAAACAAGCCACCCAATGCTCGTCAACATGGCCAGCAGCTGACCTCACTCCCATGCCACAACTCACGTGCCCCGAAAGGGAGCTCCTGCCCCATCACGAGGGTCACTCAGCACTGGATGCCACCCTGCCCCTCCAGGTGAGAGGGGGCTGGCAGGGACAGGAGAGCACATCCTGCACTGACACTGACCGTCCTTCCCTCTTCCCCTGCACAGAGGGAGAGCCACAGGAGAGGGGATCCGTGCATTTTGTGGCCAGTGGCAGGCAGCACGCACTGCGTCTCTCAGCTCAACGTGCTCCTTCGTCTCCCGTGTGCCTGGCAAGCTGCCTCCCTGAAGGAAGTCATTAACAGCCAGGCCCCTGCTCAAGACAAACATCTCTAAGGCAGGGAGATGCTGATCTCGCCTCTTCCCATTGCTGCAAGTCAGGCGACTGAACACGGATGGTAACCGAGAAGGCAGGGGACAAGCCAAGCTCAATATCGCCTGGATTCCACAGATTGCTGTGATCTTTATCAGTCTGCCTGGGAAGGGAGAGCCTGCTAACAGGCCCACCAACCCATCTTCCATACCCTGCCCCATCCCTGCAGGACAAGGTGATAGCTCCACCAGGGCCGCTCCTTGGCCGTGCTTGGAAGTGGGACCTTCTCTCTGTTGTGACCCAAGTCCCCCAGTCTCCCCACAGCCTCTGCACCTGGCTCCTATAATTCCTGTCATCCAGGATCTGGAGCGGCAAAGGGAGCATGGACACCATCCAGCCCAGCAGAGAGGACCTGTGCTCTCAAAGGCCAATCAGTTCAAACCGGGCCATGCAGGGAGGGCTCCTGCCCCCGTGTGCTGGGCAGGACATGAACCCAGAGAAGGTTTGCAAGCCAGAGCCTTCCATCTCGTCTGGAATTTGCTCCTTCCGCAGCCCCAGGCTGGAGCAAAGCAGCAACGAGTTGGACATGCCTGCTTCAGTCCTTCTGCCCAGGCTGCTCGCGGAGGGGCTGGCCATGGCAGCCATGTGCTCAAAACTGCTAAGGCTGGCTTCTTGCAGGCTGCTTCAGTCAGCGGGGACAACAGCCTTGCCTGCCCTCCTCTAGCCAGCACAAGCTTCACAAAGCCAGGCAGGCCAGGGAAATCAATCTGGGTGAACAACCGCCCCAACTGGTTCAGCACAGCAACAGAAACACTGATGTTGGCACAACCCGAGAGGAGAGACAAAGCTCCTCCTTCAGTCCCTTCAGCAGCCAGGAGCTACCATGGATTTACAGTACGCGCCTCGAGAAGGTGAGCCTCCAGCAGGGACTGGCAAGAGGTTCCGCTCCCCCAGGTCTCCTCTTCCTGATTCTGTTTTATGCCCTAGGAGCTTAAGCAGCCTGTGCTCAGCCTTACCTGTTCCCCCCTGCCCCAGGGCACTCAGGACATGTAAATCCATCCTAGCCTGCTGACACAGCCTCCTCCCCACCTCTGGGACCCAGGCTCACTCCATTCCTACCTCACCACCCTGAGTCTTCCTCCAGCATCTCCCCAAACCCCACTGGACAGAGCAGGCAGCAAGCAGAGCAGGCAGCAAGCAGAGCAGGCTGAGAGGCTTAAGCTGGCAGCAGCAGTGTTTGTGCAAGAGACGCAGCTGGCACAAGACACCGGTCCACAGGAGTCATGGCATCGGGCATGTAATATCCCAGGAGCCTGGTCGCAGGCCTGGCAGGGCAGTTAAAGGACCACCAAGGCCCTGCTCTGGTTGCCCAAGGGCAGCATGGGGCAGTCACTCCGCAGTCAGGTGGGAGGAGCTGCCAGACAAACCAGAGGGAGAAGCTGCTACTGCCAAACAGGTTGAGCAGCTTCTCCTGCCCTGCCCCGCTCAAGGGCCAGGCCATGCTGCAGGAACGCTCCCGGGGCGCTGCGGGGCTGAGCCTTGCTCACCCCAGCCCTGGGCTCAGCACCGCCCCCCGGGGCTGCTCCCAGCTGGGAGAGAGGGCGATCCCAAGGCTGCTGGTACTCCTGACGCAGAGCTGTGCCGCGCACCCCACAGAGAAGCCTGCAGTCCCACTAACAGAACGGGTGGCACGGAGAGGGAAGGGCCTGGAGCTACATCCAACCGCCCAATAGAACTCCTTGCTGCAGGACAACCGGCTCAATTAGCACTGAGTTTTAACCACCAATTAAGCAGACAATTAGAAGCGGATGCAAGTTTTCTCCTGTGTGTGACTCAGCTCATAGTAGTGTCTCTGCAATCCTCCTTCCTCGAAGAGGGAGAAGTTAAAGGGACCCCATAGCATCCCTCACCCCAGTGCCTCCTGCTGCGTACCTGAGCCGCCGTCGCGGATCGGATGGGGTCCCTGCCCGTCTGGCCGTGCCGTAGTCAGACATAAGCCCGTAGTCCACATCTTCAAAGCCCACGCTGCGCTGGTCATCCTCCAGGCCGTACGGCTCAGGGTGGAAATGGTTGAGGTCCATGTTGCTGCCCCCAACACGCACTTGAGGTTGGGGGCCGTAGATGTCCTGGCGGCTGGGGGCCCGGTAGGTGTCCATGGAGGGACGGTAGCGCTCATCAATGCGGGTGCCACGGGACAGGCTGCCGTAGCTGTGATCGCTGCCTGGGTAGCCATCCTCATAGGGGCGGCCATAGCCATCGGGGTAGTGGTAGTTACGAGGGAGGGTGGCTGTGCCGGGCTGGCTCAGGTAGCTGCTGGGGCCCCCGTTGCCATTCTTGCGGAAGTTCCTGTCCATGGTCTGGACGTAGTTGCTGGTGACGGGGGAGGTTTCCAAAGGTAACCCATCAGGCCCCATCGGCACCTGCTGCACCGTCCGGGTGGTCACAGTCTTTACCACTTTCTTCACCTGGATGGATGGATGCAGGACACACTCCCATCAGGAAATCCACCACACCTCTGTATTCCCAGATTCTCCTTCCAGCCCAGCACCTTACTCCAGGCAGATGTCACACCCCATTTCAGCTCACAGCGCAGCATGCTGGCAGACATTGCAACTGTGGCACCCCAGCCATCAGGGTCCCTGGCCAGAGACCTGTCCCTCCATGCTCCCCCCAACCCTGGCCTGTACCGTAGTCTCTGTACGCCGGGTTGTCCCATCATCTGATGTCTCCACAGACACAACCGACATGGCCCCTTCTGGGTCCTCCTCCATTGTGTAAGTCTCCTCCACTATTTGTCCCGGGTCCTGCATCCTGGGGATTGTGCTGTACAAGAGGTGGCTGTGGTCCTGAGGGGAGCAAGGGAGAGGCAGTCAGTCCCCCACCGCCAACACGGGGATCCCTGGAGTCAGTTGACCGAGAGACCTCACCTCTCAGGGAGTCCTGATAGCCTCTTGCATGGGAGAGTGTACCAACAACCCCACACCCAAAGCCCCTTCAAGCCAGGGCGGCCCCATTAGAAACACAACTCCCCCTCCCCCAGCTAGGGTGAGGACACTGGACCCCTGCCCTTGCACCCCCCACCCGACAAGTAGGCTCCACACAGCCAGAGGGCCCAGCTCCCCTTACCTGTGGCCCGTTGAGCTTCAGATCTGGATACTTCTGCCTTTCCAGGTCAGCATCGCCCAAGAAACGGCCGTTCTGAAACACAGAGCACCACAGCAGGCCTGTTACAAGACTGATCTCCCACTGCAGGATCCCATACATCCATCTCCCCCTTCCCTGCCAGGCCCTGAGCAGGCCATCTCCTGCATCTGACAGAGGCACCTACTGCACATCCCACAAGTTGCTCCCAGGAGAGGAGCTCGCTCCTCAGGGGCCTGTGTGACGTGCAGCAAACCACCCCCCATTCCAGCCTGGGGAAGAGTTGGAGGACACACCATTCAGCTCCCCACCAGACATCCCAGCTCTCCCACAGTGCCCACATGCTCCTGATGGAATGGCCAAGACCCTTCCCTGCTCCCCAGCATGGCCCTGGAGACCTTCCACATCTTCCGACATAGGAGCTGCAAGTGACATCCCAGAGGCCCCCCAGCACTGCAAGGGAACAGCGTGGATGCTCGGTGGCTGATTGCAGAAGGCTGCCATTCGACTCTCCTGTTCTCCCACTTTGCCCACCTCTTCCTTGGCCCTGACCCACGTGTCTCGCCTAGCACCACCACCTTCCACAGCTGGAAAGGCACACCACCACACAGCAGCCCTCCAAGCATTCGTTCCCAAAACAGAGCCCAGGAAAGTGAGAACAGGAGAGAGATCTCAAGCCAAGGTAGATGAAACCACATTTCCAGCCCTGTAGAGAAGAGAGATCTCTACTAGCCCTGGTTCGTCTGTCTGGGGGACAGACCGAGACCCCAGGGACTTGCCCATCATCACAGGAGAGGGAGACACACACACTCTCCCACAGCAATATGCCAACCCCTGCATTTTGACCACCTTCCAAGAAGCTGAGTGGCAAAGATGCCCAGGCACTGAATATAGACAGCCTTCACAAAACCAAACCAGAGCCGACCTGGTAGCAAGACCCTCCAGGCTGGCTCCTTCTGCCCAGAAGACTCTGGCTGCTGAGGGAGGTTTGTACATCCCCAGATCACCTTCAGCCCCAGCACACATACAGCACCATCAGTGTTCCAAGACCAGCCTAGTCCTCCTCCGCCTCACATATCCAAGGAGAGCCAAAGGAAGGGAGCCAGGCCCAGGTCTGCCCCCACCGAGGCAGGACTGACACGAACGGGGGCTCCGGGAGCCTCCGCACCCACCTCTGCCAAGGGGGCTTTTTACCTGGTGCCGTCGGGTAAGGGTGCCGTTGGCCAGGCCCAGGCCGGCGTCCTGTGGGGAGACCCGGACTCGTTCCAGTTGGGCTGAGACATGGCGCCGTTCCTCTTCAAGCGCCCGGGTCAGCTTCTCAAACTGTGCCTCCTGCTCCTTGACAGAGGCAAGGATGCTGGCGGTCGAACCCACTTCTGAGTTGTTCCT